AGAAAAACACTACCTTGGGAAGTTAGTTTCTGTTTTGGCAAGGGGAGAAAGAGCCACCATCTTTCCTCTTGGTTGTGGGTGGTTCACACACTCCTTAGAGCATCAAGGTGTTATTTTTGGTGAGAAAAAGACCAAGCTTTCCTTGAAAATTTTCGTGCGCACTTGGGTAGTGGTTTAGAGCAACTTCAAAGACTCCAAAGTTCCTTCCTTTTTATGATTTCAAAAGCCCTAAAGTAACCTATCGTTATTTCCTTTGTAAATGCATAAACAAAGCTTGTTTTGAGTTTTTAAAAAGGAAAACTTTGACTATTCAAGTTAAAGGTTGTTAATTTAAGTGTAATATGATAGATTAAACTTTTGTTTATGAGTAAATCAAAGGTTAGAACCTTGGAAGGTCATTGGAACTCGAATTACGCAAAAAAATTGCATTTTGGCATTTCTACACAAGTGGTAATCGATTACCTTAGAGTAGTAATCGATTACAATGAAGGGTAATCGATTACCTAGTGCAATTGTGATAACAATACACTAGTTTGATAAAATTTTGATATCTCAAGGTACAGATTTCCGAATCGAGTGAGATTTAGACCTATGTGAAGCTAACACATAGGGATACAACCTTGTAAAAATTCAGATCCATTTGATAAGTTGATTGATCTCAGTTTGATTTTGAAGTTGCTTCCTTACTGTTAAAAATTCAGTTTGCAACAATAACTTTGCGAAAAATATAACTGGAGTTATACAAATCCAATTGAGACATAAAATATTTCGTTGGAAAGCTTAGGAGGTCTAGTTTAACATAATAAAATCTTAGAATTTTTGGTATAGATTTACAATTAAATTTTCAAAAAGAGTAAATGTGGTTTTGTGCTTGCGGGCTTTGGGAGAAGCCTGCAGTCATGAAATTTGGGAATATAATTATTAATGATATTTTTGACTTAAAATATATTGTGATTCTGCTATTTGGTGATTTGTGAGCTGTTGTTTGGATTTTTAGCTTGATTATACTACTTGACAGGTTAGTTTCGTGTTCTCATGGTTAATCCTCATTTGTTCCACCATTTTCCAAGATGATGATGGTAGGTTTATATTGTATATGTGCTTATCTATTATTTGAGATGATGAAATGATGCGCTCTTATATATGTATGTTATAAGGTGTATTACACATAAGATGGCTAATACATTAATGTAGTGCAGAGCTTCTCAAGACTGTATTCCCTGAGTGTGGGTATAAAGCAAGAGCCTTATACTTCTTATGTATGTAGCAGACGTGTATAAATCATACCATTCTCTGGCCAGTATAACACCTCGAATTTCTAAAACATATATTTATATATTAAAATGTGAATTAAAGGGTAGGATTAGTGAAAATCTTGAATTTAGAACCAAAATACGTAAAAAGGGTAAAATGATAATTTGCCAAACACGTAACCCTATGAAAGAAAAATTGAGTAGAAGGTCTCAAACGGAAAAAATAACCCTGAAAATGGATTTAGAACGAAAAATTGAGTGGTTAGGCAAGTTTCTGGAAAATTGATGAATAGTGTTTTATCGGGTAAAAATACCGCGATACAGTTGCACCGTAAAGCATGTTGAATGAATTTTGAGCTCTAGGTTTGGAAATAAGTTATAAATGGTACATAGGACTAGGAATTATGATTTCTGATGAAAATTGATTGAGATTAGGGTTTTGGGAAAGTGTGCCCACAACGCGCATAACAACTTAAAAATGTGATTTCACCGAACGACCAGAAAACTCCGGATTCATCTGATCAAGGGCAATTAAAGGACTTTGGTGAATATTAAAGTTTGGAGTTTATGAATTATTTGGAGATTGGTGGTTTAAGTGGGAGATTTGAAATAATTTGAATTGAGTGATGTGTCAAGTGGGACCCACCCACTTAAGTGACTTATGTTGCTTAGTAATTTTCAATGTTTGTTAAAACTTATATTATATTTTATTGATTGCAAAAATTATACTAGATTTTATTTTTAATATTATTGCATTTTTTGTTATTTTGTTTTTTACTTTTATAATTTTAAATGTTTGTTAAAAATTCTTATATTTTTTAAAATCATATAAATCCATATTGTTCTTTCAAATCTTATAAATTCTATTAAAGTTTTTTAAAATTCATTAAAATCTAATCTTATGAAATCTTGATAGTAATAAGAGTCTTTAGAAAAAAATCTTTAAAATTCCTCCAATTCTATAATAGGTAGGTTATACTTACAACATTTTTTTTACAACCTCTTACAACCATATCTTAACACCGTTGATTTCCGTCAATCAACGATTATGATTTTCGCAAATTAAACTCATTAATTAATTATTAATTCACAATAAATGATAACCGTTGATTGACGGAAATCAACGGTATTAAGACATGATTGTAAGAGGTTGTAAAAAAAAAGTTGTAAGTATACTTTTTCTCATTCTATAAAGTCTTTTAAAATTTATAAAAAAATTTACATAATTTTTTTTTTAGTAAAGACCCAAATTGGTCCCTGACAAAAAACTCGGTGCCCAAATTAGTCCTTCACAAAAATAAACTTGTTAGATAGTCCCCAACAAAGTGAAACAGGACCCACGTTAGTCCTTCTGTCAATCCAAAACTCACGGTGTCAATGACGGTGATGACGTGTCACGTTAAGTGATATGCTGGAGGCCACATGGGTTGAGGAATAACGTCGTTTTGAGAGACTCATACACGTTGGTCAGTATGGTCCCTAACAGTTTTAACAAAGGGGACCAGTATGGTCCCTAACATTTTTATCGGGGTCCTTTTTAGTCCCTGCTAAAGTTCTGTTAACACCAGTGCCACCATTTGCTATTAACACACCAGCAATGTCATTTCCCCTTGTACATGCTGATATTAGTCATGCATAACACAATCAACTTCTGCATAATTCATACCATGACATTCTTAGTTTAGTCTTTATACATTGTTCCCATTTCTTTTTTTTATCTCCATCGAGTTTATACAACATTTTGTGCCAATAAACATAACTTCAAATACATAAGCCATGCTACATACATTGCATGAACAACAATTCATTACACCAGCAAATCTCAATAGAACCACATTTTAAATTTCACTCCTGCCTACTTGCAAGATATATACATACTAGAAACACAACAATAATGGATCCAGCAAACACCCTAGCACACCTACACACATGCATCATTTCCTTCTCAACCCTTTCAAAGTCTGCCTGCATCTTCAATGATATGTCTTCAATCTTTATACAGTGTTCATTAATCTTCTTTTTGTGGTCATTCACCTCCAGCTGCAGTTCATCATTGAGCTTCATGTGCAAAAAGTTCAACTTGAACTCCATTTCAGCTACATTCAACTCCAGCTTGTTAATTGTCCAATCTTCCAGCTCCATGGTATCAGATGTAGCATCATCCACCCATGTAAAAAAGTTACAGTGTGACTTCTTTTCCTAAACCATATTCAACTATACAGTTAATAACATTGACATTACAAAAATAACGCATGAAAAAATCAACCTCACCTTGAAGTTGGGGCACCCAAAAAATGATCTATTAGGGTTTGTAAGTGTCTTGGAGGTTGAATTTGGTTCAAGCTACTGTTAGAAAATCTCAACCAGCCAAAACAACTGGCAAACTACTGTTATTTCTAACAGATGTATGATTGAACTCAAATGAGAAAAACATGCTCTTACTTCGTAGGTTCTTAAACATTATAAGCCAAACCATGCCACATACATCCAGCCCAACCAATCAATCAATTATTTTTTTATTGGGTCCATGTTAATCTTTTCCATTTAAAATAAAATAAAATTAAAGGGATTTATTTCTTCTGTTGGGTATTCATTGTTTGTTCAAAAATAAGTATTTGGCATCGTCAAAGAAATTGAAATAAAAATTGTGCTGTATTAATGAGCGATATTTTTAACTTTTTGATTTTCTGTTGAGATTCAAGTAACAATGTATGTAGGATTTAGAAGTAAGATAAGCAATTTTTCAGTCTAAAATATAATATTCACACGATCTAATAATACCATAACCTACGATGAATTAAGAAACCTTAAACATAAATATGCGAGGTATATTCTGATTCCATTGAAAATCAATATATATGCTATGAACGAAATGGAAATTGTAATGTACTGTTTTCAATTTATTTCGAATCAAACATACGTACTTTTTGTCGATAATGAAATTTGAAGGCTCTGCGTGTCTTTGTGTCTTTCCCGCTTGAAGGTACTAAGAGCAAGTAGTTATTTTTGTAATGTCAATGTTATTAACTGTATAGTTGAATTTGGTTAATAACATTGACAAAAAGTATATTTATGTACAAGGGGAAATGAGAACAATGTATAAAGACTAAACTAAGAATGTCATGGTGTGAATTATGCAGAAGTTGATTGTGTTATGCATGACTAATATCAGCATGTACAAGGGGAAATGACATTGCTAGTGTGTTAATAGCAAATGGTGGCACTGGTGTTAATAGAACTTTAGCAGGGACTAAAAAGGACCCCGATAAAAATCTTAGGGACCATACTGGTCCCCTTTGTTAAAACTGTTAGGGACCATACTGACCAACGTGTATGAGTCTCTCAAAACGACGTCGTTCCTCAACCCACGTGGCCTCCAGCATGTCACTTGACGTGACACGTCATCACCGTCATTGACACCGTGAGTTTTGAATTGACAGAAGGACTAATGTGAGTCCTGTCTCACTTTGTTAGGGACTATCTAACGAGTTTATCGTTGTGAGGGACTAATTTGGACACCAATTTTTTGGTCAGGGACCGGTATGAGTGTTTACTCTCTCTTTTTTAAATCCAATCCAGTACACCCTAAATTGGTCAAAAGCCTCAATTTTGTCCTGTTAAACCTGACCCAACTCCAAGATGAGTCAACCACTGCACAAGTCCATAGGAGCTTGTGAAACTTTTACACGCCTCTTTCGCAGCATCTTCGAGGAAAGAAGCAAACGAGAGTGGATTGGGAGAGAAAGTCTTCGTTGATGATGATATATGAGTTCTTTGAAACGAAGTGGCTGCACACCGCTTCGGTGAAAAGCTGAGCATGATTTCTCCTTAGTAAAAATATTAATTTGTTTACAATTCAGATACTCTGTTCTTGATTAAGATGTGATGATTGTGAGTTATAGTTTATGTGCTGGTTTGATCTTGGTGTTTGATGAAGTTGCATTGTTTTCTTGGTTTAGCGCATTTGCTTTGACCACATTAGCTTAGAAACCTTGTTTTTCTTGGTGTCATATCATCATGACACAGCTAACACTACCTCATCCTTCTTCCTTCACCTATGAATGGATTTATGATGTCTTCCTCAACTTTAGAGGTGTTGATACCCGCAAAAATTTCACTGGAAATCTCTACAATTCTCTTCATGAAAGGGGTATTCACACCTTCATTGATGATGAAGGACTCAACAAAGGTGAAGAAATCACACCATCTCTTCTCCAAGCCATTCAAGATTCTAGGATTTTCATTGCTGTTTTCTCTAAAAACTATGCGTCCTCTACATATTGCTTGAAAGAACTTGTCATGATCCTTGAGTGCTCAAAGGCACAAGGACGGTTGTTTTGGCCTGTTTTTTATGATGTGGACCCATCACAAGTTCGGCACCAAAGTGGGGCTTATGCAGAAGCTTTGGCTAAACATGAGGAGAGGTACAAAGATGACAAGGATATGGTCAAAGAATGGAGGAAGGCTTTATTTCAAGCTGCTAATATGTCTGGATCACATTTCCTACTCGGGTATCTCACACCATCCTTTTTTTGTTGTTTGCCCAAAAGAAATAACATGTGTGAATGTTGAAGGAAATATACTGAATAGAGACAATTCTTTGTATGAGATTAATTTTGGTTACTGTGCATGAACTAATTAAACACTAATTCAATATTAATTTTGTATAATGTGCAGTTCTCAATCAGAATATCAATTTATTAGAAAGATTGTTGAAGAAGTCTCTACAAAGATCAATCGCTGTCCTTTATATGTTGCTGATAAGCCGGTTGCATTAGAGTCTCGAGTGCTAGAAGTGACATCCCTCCTAGGACTTGGGTCTGATGAGGGAGTCAACATGGTAGGCATTCATGGAATCGGTGGGATAGGAAAATCAACACTTGCTCGAGCTGTATATAACTTTATTGCTGATCAATTTGATGGTTTTTGTTTCCTTGCTGACATACGAGAAAGGGCAATTGATAATCATGGTCTTGTACAACTCCAAGAAACATTACTCTCTGAACTGCTTGGGGAGAAAGATATTAAAGTGGGAGATGTTAACAGAGGAATTCCAATAATAAAAAGGAGGCTTCATCGAAAGAAGGTCCTTTTGATTCTTGACGATGTTGACAAACTGAAGCAGTTAAAGGTAATTGCAGGAGGACATGATTGGTTTGGCTCTGGCAGCAGGATCATAATCACAACAAGAGACAAGCATTTGCTAGCCACTCATGGGATTGTAAAATCATATGAGGTTAAACAGTTGAGTGATGATAAAGCTCTTGAATTGTTTAGTTGGCATGCCTTTCAAAAAAACAAAATTGATTCAATTTATGTGGATATTTCAAAAAGCGCAGTTTCTTATGCTCATGGCCTTCCATTGGCTTTGGAGGTGATAGGTTCTCACTTGTTTGGCAAAAGTTTAGATGTATGGAAATCTGCATTGGCCAAATATGAAAGAACTCCTCATCAAGATATCCATAAAACACTTCAAATTAGCTATGATGATTTGGACAAAGATGAGAAGGGAATTTTTCTTGACATTGCTTGTTTCTTCAATTCTTACGAAATACTCTATGTCAAACAAATACTGTACTTACATGGTTTTCAAGCGGAAGATGGTATTCAAGTGTTGATTGACAAATCTCTCATAAAGATTGACCCCAATGGTTTCGTGAAGATGCATGACTTAATTCAGGTTATGGGCAGAGAAATCATTAGGCAGGAATCAGAATTGGAGCCTGGCAGACGCAGTAGATTATGGTTTAACGAAGACATTGTTCATGTTTTGGAAGATGATACGGTATGTAAAAAAACATCTTGTTGGTATTTCTTCTCTTTGATGTCCTCTATTTAAGCATTTTGAATGATATGTATTAGATTACTGGATTCTTAGTTCTCCGTTCTCAGTTTCAACTGTTTGATGAAATTTTTAAATTCAACCAGATATATATGGGGATGACATTCCTAAACTTTACATTTTATTTAACTTATGATTTGGAGTTGATAGGGAACTGATACAATTGAAGCTATAATCATCAACCTGTGCAAAGACCTAGAAGTGAAGTGGAGTGGAAAAGCCTTCGAGAAGATGAAAAACCTGAGAATTCTTATAATCAGAGATGCACGCTTTTCTAGAGGACCTCAGAATCTACCAAATAGCTTGAGAGTGCTTGATTGGAGTGGGTATCCATCACTGTCTTTACCATCTGATTTTAATCCAAAGAATCTTGTGATACTTAGTCTGCCTGAAAGTTGCCTTAAATTATTTAGACCGCTCAAGGCAAGTATTCTCTTAAAATGCTTTATATCTTTTAACAGTTTTTGTTGGCCTTAAGCACTAATATGTATTTCCATTTGCAAACTCATAATTTGAGTCATCAACTTTTACTTTTTAGGTGTTTGAGTCATTGAACTTTATGGATTTTGAAGATTGCAAGTTCTTAACTGAACTACCTAGCTTAAGTGGTGTACCTAATTTGGGGGCACTTCATCTTGATAATTGCACTAATTTAATTACAATTCATGGTTCGGTTGGATTTCTGGATAGGCTCGTGTCATTGAGTGCTCAAGGATGCACGCAGCTAGAAATATTGGTACCCTCTATCAACTTGACATCTCTAGAAACTCTGGATCTAAGAGGTTGCTCACGTCTTGTGAGCTTCCCAGATGTTTTGGGAATAATGGAGAATATAAGAGATGTTTATTTAGACCAGACTGCCATACGTGAATTGCCATTTTCAATTGGAAATCTTGTGGGGCTCCAACGATTGTTCTTGAGGAAATGCCAAAGCTTCTTCTGCCTACCAAGTAGCATCCATAGATTGCCTAAACTTGAGATAATAACAGCTAATGGTTCTAGGGGATTTCTCTTATCTGAGGATAAAGAAAAAGTGTGCTCAAAAGTGTTTCCAAAAGTCATGGCTATTTATATTGGAGGCACTTGGTTCTTCCTTGATGTGTATTATCTAAATATAAGCCCCTATAATGTCATAGAAGTATGTAGACCTTCGCCTCCCCATGTTGATGGACTTGTGGAATCTGATTTTCTATGGTCTAAACTGATTAGCGGAGCGAGGGAAATGTCGATGTGTTTTTGGTTCCGGAACAAATTCCCCAAGATAGCTCTATTTTGTAATACAGAACCTGGCATTAATCAAGACAATGCGGTGTTGGATTTCAAGCTCAGTGTAGTCATCAATGGCACTAAGCAATTCAGTTCTTCATGTAACTACATATTTCATAGACCAGGAATGAGGAATATAATGCTTTGCTGTGATCTACAATGCAAGGTGGAGAGTGTATTTTCAGAGCATGAATGGAATAAGGTAGAGATTTTTTGGGAGTTAGAATACCCCATGCCATGTGATTCTGAAAGGGTGGGGGCCACAATGAGGATTCCAAAACGGTGCTTCATTTATCTCCATAGAGGAAACAAGGAGGAGGATTTCAAATTAGAAAATTCCTGATGTCCCTCTATCTCTCTTTCAGGAATGTCAAGAGATGCAGAGAATAAAGGAAAAGACGTTCAGGCTTCTACTTCAATCGAATCTGCATCATCTTGTAATATGTTTGGTATGGACAATGATTATTTTATTTTTTCAGTCATTTGTTATATGAAATTTAAGTAACACGTAGGTCTTTAATTTTATGCATAATCAAATCTAAGTTGCTCTAATCCTTCTATTCTGTTGGTTGCATACCACTAAAACTTTGCAAATGTTTTGATCAATTTCACGTGACTAATATTCATATGTTCATAAAAGACGAGATTAATTTGAAATCAGTGAATTCGTTATATAAACTTCGAATACATTATTGTTTAAGAAATCAAGCTCCAAGTCAATACTTAAAATCTACCTTAACTATGAATAAGATCTTATGTGATCTAGAGTAATGGGTGAGAGTGAATGTTTAATACAAGCTGGGGAAGTGGCGGTTTCTGTAAGAGCCTAGATGAGTAGAAGGCCAAGACTCAATCACCTTGGTCGAGGTACATTTTGGCGCCTTCTTATTCATGCTCATTGTTGGGATCATTTTATGGTTGGTGCATTGGAATGTTGAACAAAAGCAAACTTGAATGGCAAAAAGGTTGTTAGGGATGAAGAGAAATGGAAGCAACTTTTTGGTATTGTGTGTCGGTTTCGGCTTATTTGACAAGATCGAAACAAATTTGTTTTTTAGGATAGGAGTACGGAGCCATATTCCATTGTTCGCAAGTCAGTTTGCTTCAATCCAAATATGGTTTATGTGAATCATATTTTTCAACATGTAGGTCTTCAAGGTAAACCCCAGAGAAAATAACCTGTTGGAAATTTACTACTTCAGGTTGCTTCAAGATTAACATAAAAAAAATCTTACACTAGGAATGGTCTTTGAATTGGATGTGGTGAGGTGACTTTATCCGAGATTATAATATGAGATGGGTTGTAGGGTTCTCCAAAAACCTTGGTGGCAGAGGCAATGCTTTATCAACAGAATTATGGGGATGTTTTTTTAAGTCTACTGATAAGTCTCTGAAATGAGACTTTAGAGATAGTGAAGTCAGTTAATTGTGTGTTTGTTTGAGGCTTTTGTCCATATAAAATCACATTTTGCAGTCATTAATTATTGGGCTTGTTCTGTTTACTTTCAGGTACAAATAGTCAATACTCAAGCCCAATTGAGAGAAAAAGGAAAAGTGTACTAAGCCCAACTTGTCAACCCAGTTCAGCAGCTGCATTGGAAAGCAAGGGCAGAAATGTAATTGAAATAAATGCTGAGCAAAAAGGAAAAATGGCTATCGTGCAAAATTCATTTCAGTCCCAAGAACCATTGAACCCTAATCCTCTTTTGCTCCCACTTCACCACATTGTGCCACAAAGCCATCTCAGCAATCAAACCACATCAAACCATGTTAGAATTTGGTATCTACACACAGATGCAAGTGACAACCACACAAGTATATCTATGAAGAACTTTTTGTTGTCAAATCTATTCTCCAAATTGTGCATTACATCAAGCCTATTAATAGGCAAAACAAAAAACGGAAAGTACTAATGAAGAGACTCTACTAATGAAGAAACTCATTACAAGGCTAATCAAGAGTCTCATAAACCCTCATAACATCACTAACTACTCATAACTCACCAAGAGGCATGACTCTTCAATATTTTAATTAACACATGAAACTAAAAAGACACTTCAACACTAATAACATTAAATAACGACTGACTCTTAAAACTCCTAAATAAATATAAAACTCATGACTCATAAACTATCCAAATTTAAAACTCATTAAAATAACATTTAATGTTTACTTAACAAAACTCCCCCGTAAACTTAAATGCTTCTTCCATCTTTCATGCCAATCATTCTTTTGCAGTTTTCCAGTAGTAACGTCGGCAGTGGTTTTGTGAAAATATCTCCGACTTGGTCTTGATTTGCCACATGTAATAACTCCACATTTCTTTTCTTTACTTGATCCCGGATGAAGTGAAAACGGACGTCAATATGCTTGCTTCTTTCATGATTCACCGGGTTCTTGGCTAACTCTATAGCCGACTTGTTATCAATACAGATCTCGGTTGGGCCGACTTGTTTCTCCTCTAGCTTGCTTAGTAAGTTCCTGAACCATACTGCATGACAAACACACCAAGACGCAGCTACATATTTCGCTTCACAGGTCGACAAAGTTACAATGGGTTGTTTCTTCGAGATCCAAGTGAATGTCATGTTGCCCATGAAGAATACATATCCCGACGTACTTTTCCGATCGTCTACATCTCCACACCAGTCACTATCAGTGTACCCAATTAACTTTTAATTTTCGAACCTCGAGTAGTGAAGTCCCAATGAAGTTGTCCCTTGTATATACCTCAAGATTCTTTTTGCCGCCTTCCAGTGTGAATAACTTGGCTCCTCCATGAACCGACTTACAATCCCAACACTCAGTGAGAGATCCGATCTTGTGCATGTCAGATAACGAAGACATCCTACCAAACTTCGGTAGTTGCTTGCGTCAACTCGATCTCCACCATCATACTTTGAGAGTTTTGAACCGGGTTCCATAGGGGTTGAAACTGGGTTGCAATCTGTCATCCAGACCAAGAAAATATCTCATCAGACCGAGATCTGTCATCTCAAACTCCCTTGTCATTGTTCTTTTGAGTTCTTGTATCATTCCATCATTGTTCCCCATAAAGATGAGGTTATCCACATAAAGAGCCACAAACAAAACATCATCTCCAATTTTCTTTATATAAAGTGCATGTTCATAGGGGCACTGCTCAAAACGATTTTCCTTGAAATAAGTGTCAATACGAGTATTCCACGCCCGTGGTGCTTGCTTCAACCCGTAAAGTGCCTTCTTCAACCTTAGCACTTTCTTCTCTTCTCCACCTTTCATGTATCCCGGTGGCTGTTCGAGATAGACTTCTTCTTCAAGTACTCCATTCAAGAATGCCGACTTGGCATCCATTTGAAATATCTACCACCTATGTTGAGCTGCTTGTGAAATCAATAGCCGAATTGTCTCCATCCTTGCGACGGGAGCAAATACCTCGTCATAATCAATTCCTGCCATTTGCTTGTAACCCTTTGCAATTAGCCGAGCTTTATATCGTTCTATCTCCCCTTGAGCATTCATTTTCTTCTTGAATACCCACTTTACCCCAATGGGCTGACTCCCTCCAGGTAGCTCGGCTAACTCCCACGTGTTATTTCGATCAATGGCTTCTATCTCCTCATCCATGGCGTCTTGCCATTTCTTATCTCGGATGGCTTCTTCAAAGCTTATATTTTCAGAATCTGCAAGAAGACAAACAAAATGTACCTCACTTGTTGACTCATATATGTCTTGTATGCTCCGTATCCTGGGTTGTCGTACCTCGTCTTCATCATCAGAAGGTTCAGGACTTGCCGGTTTGATAACTTGTGTTGAGATTTCGCCTTCAAAATTCACCTCTGGTGAATTTCTCCAGTCCCACTCATCTGCTTCATTGAACCTTACATCTCGGCTCACTACGACCTTCTTGTTGACGGGGTCAAACAGCTTATACCCCTTTGTTTTTTCATCATATCCCATAAAAACATATTTCCTGCTTTTGTCCTCGAGCTTAGTTCTGAGCTGGTCCGGTACGTGTGCAAAGGCCACACTACCGAATACTCTGAGATGAGCCACTGACGGCTTTTGACCGCTCCAAGCTTCCTGTGGTGTTTTGTCCTCTAAACTCGAATGTGGACATCGGTTCTGCACATACACAGCACACTGCACAGCTTCCGCCCAAAACTCCTTCGGCATCTTCTTGTTCTTCAGCATTGACCGAACCATGTCAAGAACAGTTCGGTTCTTCCTTTCAGCAACGCCGTTTTGTTGTGGTGAGTATGATGCTGTTAGAAACCTTCTTATCCCATGTTCCTCACAGAATGTCAGAAATGCTGTCGAGGTATATTCCCTACCTCGGTCAGAACGCACCGACTTGATGAATTTTCATGTTGCCTTCTCAATCATTACTTTAAACTTTTTGAATACTTCAAACACCTCGGACTTCTCCTTCAGGAAATAAACCCACGTTTTTCGTGAGAAATCATCAATGAAAGAAATGAAATATTTCTTACCGCTAAAGGATTCCGGGGTGATTGGACCACACAGATCAGTATGAATCAACTCCAGAGGCTGCTTGGCCCGAAATCTCGCCATCTTCTGAAACGTGGTCCTAGCATGCTTGCTAAGTACACAACTCTCACAAAACTTTCCTTCATAGTTGATGTCAGGCAGTCCGTCAACCATCTTCTTCTTTGCCAGCTCGATTAGACCACCATAATGTAGGTGACCAAAGCGGAGGTGCCAAAGTGACGCCTTGTCTTCCACCTCGGCTTGTAAACAGTCGACCTGTACACATCTCAAGTTCAGTTTGTACATTCGATTTCTGCCCATTTCAACTCGGAGTATCAGCCAACCTCTCTCATCTTTCAAATACAATACTCGGTCCTTCATCATAACCGAGTAACCTTTCTCCATCAATTGACCCATGCTTAAAATATTGCTTTTTAGGTCGGGTACATAGTACACATCTCGGATTGAGCCAATCAACCCGTCCTTTTGCAGGAAGCATACCGTACCACGGCCTTTTACCTCAACCTTCGAGGCATCCCCGAACGAAACATGTCCGGTCTCCACCTTTCTCATCTCCTTGAAGAAATGCTTATGTCCGCACATGTGGTTACTCGCACCCGTGTCAAGATACCACTCCATGTCATCATCTGAGTTTCCTTCATTGTGTGTCATTAACAAGACACCATCCTTCATCTCCTCTTCTGTGGCTAGGTTGGATGTCTCCTCCACCCTTTTCTCTTCTCTGCATTCTCTTGCAAAATGTCCGACTTTTCCACAGTTGTAACACTTGTCCGAGTTACAATCTTTCGCAAAGTGACCAAACTTGCCACACTTGTAACACTCGATGTTGGAATAATATGATCGTCCTCCTCGTCGACCTCTTCCTCTTCCACGCTAGTTCTATTGACTTGATTGTCCTACCTCATCATTACAACCTTCTTGACTTCAGCCTCGGCCTCTATCACTACGGCCAGTGCCTCGTCCACCGCGACCACGTCCTCTACCTCAGAAGTTTTGAGAATAGAGAGCCTTCTCATCTTTAAGTGTTGC